GGCCGGGGGCCGGGGGACCCTGCCGCGGGCGCCCCACTCCGTGCCCTGACCCTGGTCTCAGAGCCTCTTTGCGGTCCGCCGCTGATGCTGGGGAGGATGCTGAGAGGTGGCCCTTCTCCTCCCCAAGCCAGATCCAGGGGTGACCAGGGGAGACCGTGAGCTCCCGGGAGGGGACGCGAGGGTGGATGGTGGCATCCGGCACTCTGGGTCTTTCGCTGCGGGGGAAGCAGCCAGGATAGAGGGTTTGATGGTAACATGGTTAAAAAAATGACAATAACCGTCGGCTTACTGTGCACCAGCCAGCGTTTTTAAGTTTTATGTGAGCATTCGCATTTAATACTTCCTGGGACCCAGTGAGTTAGTTGCCTTCAGCATCTCCCTTTACAGGTGCGGAAACCAGGGCTCAGAGAGAGTGATTTGCTCAAGATCATCCTGCCGCCGCTAAGTGCCACGGCCAGGGTTTGGTCATTGATCTTTGTCATCTCTATGTGACCTGCTGATGGGGCTGGGGACGTGTGTCCTTCCTCCTGCCCCTGCACACTTCCCTCCTTGTGGCCTGGGATGGGAAAAGGAATTGGGCTAGGCTAGGGGAAAGGAACTAGGAAGCCAGAGTTAGGTACCAAGCGACTAAGCTTGGTGGTGGTGGTGGTGGTGGCGGCGGCGGTGGTGGGGATTCAAGCCTGAAGCCTAAACCTCCCTCTTCCCCCGCTAGCACCTCTGCCTGTCTCTGAAAGTGGAAAATCCCAAACCTGATTAATCTTCCTCAAACTCCCGCTCCTGTCTCGGATGGACTCATCAATCTGAGTGACCTTCCCTTCCCCACCCCTCCTGGGGGAACTTCCTCGGAACCGGAACCACACCGATGCCAAGTGGTGTGTTTAAGACTCTCTGGCTGCTGTCACTATAGGATCATTCCCCTGCAGTTCTGGGGGGAGGGCTCACCTGGAGTGTTTCCTGGACCCAACTGAGTTCCTTATGCAGCAGCCTGGGAAGCTCCTCAGGGGAACTTGCTGTTAGCACTGTCAGATGGCCTATCCCTTCCCATCTATATATTTTAAATCCCACAACAGACACTGATTCTTAACACAACAGTCAGCTCAATGGTTCCCAGAACCTGGGGCCATAGCTAAGGCAAAAAAGAAAAGAAAAAAAAAAGGCAAAGGAGATCCCCCTGCCTTGCTACTTTGAGAGCAGGTGCAGGTTTCATTTGCCAGAGTGGAAGGCAGCTGGTGAGAGAAGCAGGGACTGGTCTCTGGCTGGCTCTGCATATATGTAGCTGGTCATGCTTGACTCTAAACAGGACTCTTGGGCTGGGCCTCTCCCTGGGGAATTCAGGGCAAGGAAAGAGGCTTTTGCAAACTGGGACTCCTATATAGTTCTATTTTGTTAACTCCTGACTGGACTAAACTGATTGATCCCTGAAGGTAGAGCTTATGTCTGACCTTTTCACAGATAAATCCCCAATGCGAGGCATAGTACATCCTAAATAAATTATCGATGAATGAATGGATCGAGAAAAAATGCTTGGAGGGGGATTGTTGCATCATTACTTTTCTTTACTTGCTGATGGAAGAATGTCTGCCTCGTAAGATTAAAATCATGTATATTGATAATTCACCTTCCATTACTACCAATCAAAAATATTGTGTGTGTGTGTGTGTGTGTGTGTGTACATAGGTGTAATTTATGACTCTCCATCCAAATTGAGATTGGGTTCTAGGAATCTGTCCGAGTATGTATCCAGGGAGTGAAAATGTTGAAGCTACTTTTTGAAGAAAAGGCTATCATCTGTAGTGTCAATAGGTCTGGGTTCTCTAGCCTTATGCTAAATGCATAAATGCTGACAGGCGCTGAAGCATTTTGAGGTAATAAATGTCAAGATGAAAGCTAGGAGATTGATTTTTCAAAGCCAGATACACAATCCTGTTCTTCATTAGAGCTGTATGCATATATACATACATACACACACACACACACACACACACACACACACACACGGCAACCACTGCAGATCCTTCACCCCAGTTGCTCAAAAAGCCAGCCAGGGCTGGGGGGCATTTGGAATGGAGTATTGCAAAGGCCCCAGATTCATTCCCATTTCACCAAGCTGGAAGCAGAGTTCATCTGTTTTGCAAGGGGGGATGGGAATAGGTTTGTGAAGATTGCCTGCTGGGCCCTTCCTCCACTGGGCTGGGATTGGCTGGCCAAAGATGCCCATTGATTGTAAGTTTAGCCTTGAGAGCCAGGATGACTCATTCTGTATTTTTATGAATCAGTGGATGGCCTCCTGGATGAAGGTCCCCCTTTTATCTGCTATTTTTAATGGATAAGCGTTATGCTTGGGAATAAAGCATAATTCATCTGAACTAGTATTAAGACCAGTTATTCAGAATGAAGGTCCAAGTTGGTTTCTGTATAAATTTGATGGGAATGAAAGAGAAGGGGTGGGGGGAATACATATTATATATCTCATGTATACCCTCTCACTTATGTCCCTCTGAGATAGGTATTCATGGTAGAGCAAATTGGGGCTTGGAGATGTTGGGTAATTTGCCAAAACACATCACACAGACAGTAGAGTTAGGATTTGAATCCTGGTCTGTCTCTCCTTAAAACTCTGTTGTTTTCCTTTTATTCTATTTTGTCTCTCTCCATGGTAAAGCCACAAGAAATGTGATTTACTTCTCCAGACCTCTGGCATGTAAGCTTGCTTTCCCTCTTTCTGTGAATATAGCTCCTTTGATCTTTTTATGTCTGGCTTAAGGGAATGCTCTGTGGCTGTTTCCAGAGTAAAATGGCTTTTCCTCTAAAGTAGAGACATGATGGTCAAATACAGCTCAAAAAGAACCAACTCAGGGAGGGATAGGAGAGTTTTCTGTCTAAATTGTTACAAGAACATTAGCTCTGATGGGGAACTCATTTTATCAACCATTCATTGAACAAGCTACATGGCAAGTGATTTAAGCAGCTAAACTGAAGAAGCACAATGCCTTTGGAGAAAGATGGGCCTGGATGGAAGGCAAAGCCCCACCACTTTCTATCTGTGGACCAATCTCTTAACTTCTCTGAGCTTTCCATGCCCCAACCGCAAAATGGGGATAATAAGATGAACTTCATGGTGTTGAGAGGATCAGATGCAGGAAAGAGACTGGCCCACAGTTGGCACTAAATGAACCGTAGCTACTGTTGTGGCTGTTGTCATTTTTATTGTCATAGCTATGTGTATATGACATGGTTCTTGGTGCCTTGATAACTTGGAGGCTATCATTTTAATCATGTATATAATTAGGCACTATCATGTCACATCTGCTTAATGATTATGAGTAAGACCTTCCTAGACACGAGTCCCAGCTCTGCCACTTGCTAACGGGGTGTCTTAGGTCTGGTCCCTGGAAGCAGAGCCTGAGACTGGGATGTATTTTTAAGTGGCTGATTGAGGGTGCTTGCAGGAGAATGGGAGCAAGAGGAGCAGGGCAGGGGAGGGAAAGAAGCTAAGTAAGGATTTGGTTTCAGCTGGATCCCATCAGGAGTTCTGGAGCATGAATTGTACCACAGAGCTAATCTGACCTAGAAGCAACGGGAGAAGCATTCTGTACCCCTACACTGCTCGTCCTTCCCACTTTCTTCAGTTAGTTTTGGACTGGGGCTACTTCCTGAGTTAGAGCATGTAACCTTTCAAGCAGAGGTGGCTTCTGTTTGACTGAGGGTAGTCCCCCTTGGAAGTGGGGAAGCAGGGAAGGGGACTGCTCTGAGGGAGCAACCTGCACTCCCAGCAGGTGGTGGATGGGTGCACTGCCTAATAAAAGGGATGGGGTGAAGCACAGACAGCGTGCCCTCTACACTGATGGTTAACCTTGAACATGTTGCTTACTCCTCTAAACTTGAGTTTCCTATAAAATGGAGATAAACATAGCACCTGCCTTCATAGTGTTGTAATGGAGTCTAAATGAGATACTTTGCATGAAGATCTTTCTGATGATGCCTGGCACATAGCAAGTGGTCAATAAATGATAGCGATTAATATTTAAACTATTATTTTTGGTTTCCATAGACACCGTCTATAGTTTATCATTCACACTGGGACTCTTTTGAAAGGGGCATTAAAATAATTGTTCTGGGACTACAGGAGTATGGTCCCTCCTAACTGATAAGGATCGGATCGATGCCTTTGCTGTGAGCAGTCTTGTCACAGTAGAGCTTCTCTGGGGAAGGAGCTAGTAGAATCTGGGGCGGAGGGTCCCAGGTGGGGCTTCAGGAATGTTTTTAAGTGGCCATTAACAAGCCTTGTCTGGTTTGTGGCTCAAATTGGCTTGTGGTGGAAAGGCACTAATGGATTGGGGACGTTTATTTTCCCAGACTGATTTACAGCAAGAGGCTTCATGAAACTGCTGGAATGAGACCAATTTGGATGAAAAATGGTTCCAGCCAGTCATGGCTCCATTGGTTGATCTGAAAATGGGCTGAGGGCAGGCCACTCTAGAGGAAAGCCAACAGATTGATGGGATCCTATATATCATGAGGGTAAATTATATTAGAGATACGAGAAAGAACTAACATTTATTGAACCCTTGTTATGAGCCAGGGACTGTGTTGCCTGTTATATACTCTTTGTTTCATTTTTTCCTAATGGCAACTCAACAAGATCGGTATTGCTATCTCCATTTTAAAGATGGGGAACTGCCATTCAGAGGCATGTCAAGATCACTAACTGCTAAATGGAAGAGTGGCATGATAATCCAAGTTCTGCCTTGTTCCTGGATGCTTTACATTTGGGAGTTGGAAAATCAGAGAGATAGTGACAAA